TGCTTAACCCCTGTCCAACCAGGGCTCCTTCAAGCCACATCTATTGCCCTGGAGTCTGTTCTGACTCATACGAAAAGCAAACCCATTGCTTCGAGTCCATTCCTGTCATAGCCACTCTGTAAGGCGGAGTAGAACTGCCCCACAGGGTTTCCAAGGAGCAGCTGGTGGATTCCAATTGCCGACCTTTTGGTGAGCAGCGAGCTCTAACGACTGCACCACCAGGGCTCCATTCGGAGTTATACTGACCCTATTTTAGTCTAACCCTGCACTACGGAGCCCTGGTGGTGCAGTCGGTAAGTGCTTGGCTGCTCACCAAACGGTTGGCAGTTTGAACTCACCCAGAGGCTGCACAGGAGAAAGGCCTGGCCATCTGCTCCCATAAAAATTCCAGCCTAGAAAACCCTATGGGGCAGTTCTCCCTTGTCACCTGAAGTCACTATGAGTTGGAACTGACTCATGGACACGGCAACAAGAACCCTGAACTGTTCAAGATGGGAACCACTAACCCCATATGGCTATTGAGCACTTAAAATGCTATTCAGTTGTGAATTTAAATGAAATGAATGGAAACAGTACCAGGGGTGGGAGGGAGGCAGAAAAGGGGAGTCATTGCTTAGGGGGCACTGAGTTTCCGTTCATGGTGGTGGAATCATTTGGGAATGGACAGCCGTAATGGTTGCATAACATGATAAACGTAACCAATGTTACTGAAATGTACATGTAAAATATGTCGAATGGCAAATGTTTCATTATATATATTTTTACCACAAAAAAAAAAAAAAAAAAGGAAGTAGCATAAAAATTTTTTTTCCTGTTAAACACAACTTTACCATATTGGCAATGCCCCCATTTCACTATTAAGCCCTCAGCTACAAATCAAAAGGTCGGTGGTCTGAACTCACCCAGTGGCTCCGTGGGAGAAAGACCTGGCAATCTGCTCCCATAAAGATTACAGCTTAGGAAAACCCCTTTGCCTCCCAGGGAGGTTCCGTCTCTCCTCTATCCCTATTCTGTCTGGGGGCAGTTCTACTCTGTCACCTGGGGTCGCAACGAGCGGAAGTTGACTGGTCAGCAGGCACACGACAACAACAAAAACCACGACCGCCCTAGAGGCAGAGGGATTTCTAACCCGGAACTTTACCAGGGAGAAAGACAAACACCCAGTTCCTCCTGCTCGGGCAAATTTATTAGAACCTTCTAGCACCCTACCCACCCTACCCGTGGTCCACCTGGTACCCAGAAAGACCCCTGCCTGTGACCAAGGACTACTGGAAAATTGTAGGCCATTCCAGAACCCTGAGGACCCTCTGCTATCTGTCCCCTGCCAGCCCAGGTGCTGAACATAAGCAGGTAGAATGGAAGCGAACAGGAGTGGGGAGAAGAGAGATGAAACCTTCCCTAAGAGGCAAGAGGGCCTTCCCAGGAGGCACCCGATGCACTCTAGGGTAAGCAGGTCAGTGTGCCCCAAGAGGCTAACTTACCTTGGCTGCAGTGTACAGGAGCAGTGGAGCAGCTGGCAGGGAGGCAAAGGACGGTGCACTGCTGGTGTGCCCAGGTGTGAGCAAGAGGTGACCAGGGAGGAGGAGGAAGTGTTACTACACTTTTAGCAAAATACAGTCTGGGCCCCATGCCTGCTACGTGACCCGCACTGTCCCGGGAGCTTGAGCAAAGCCCATAGTAAAATTATGAGGCTCCTCTTATCCCTGCTTGCAGGAAGTTGGGGACTGGGGTCACCCTCTGGCCCCACCTGTGGCCTTTGAGGCTGCCCGGCTTTGGGTCTGCGGTCGATCCATCCATAAACTGAAACCAGTTGAGCTGACTCCAACTCATGGCGACCCCTCTTGTGTCAGAGTAGAACTGTGCTCGACAGGGTTTCCAGTGGCTGAGTTTTCCAGAAGCAGATCACCAGGCCTTTCTTCTGCAGTGCCCCTGGGTGGACTCGAACCTCTAATCTTCTGGTTAGCAGCTGAGCATGTTCACAGCTGGCACCACCCAGGGACTCCTTTAAAGTAAAAAGGTTGATCCAGTCACCAGATCCCAAAGTGCGTTCCATGGGGGGCACCAGCACTCCCTTGAAGGGGTGGGGAAGGGCGGGTGAACGGGATTTCAAGCCAGGCTCAGGGAGCCGGTCCATGAGACAGAAGATATTTTAAGCCCCGTAAGTGAACTCACAGGTGTAACTAGAACTGAGGAGGGTGTGACCCAGTCTGAACTTCCTGGATGTTTGAGGCTGGAGCTAAAACCCTGCAGGGGTTCTCAGAGTAAAAAGGGGAAGAAAGAAACCATGGAAAGGTTACGGGAGGAAGGTCCCGGCATATTGGAGGAACTGGGAGAAATTCAGTGTAGTTGGGTCTTCAGAGCAGGAGAGCAGGGCAGAGCCGCCACATATTTCAGGCCACGTCAGTCAGCAATGACGTATTTAGTGCCAAGTAATAGGGAGCCATGGGAGGCTTCAAGCAGAGGGTTCCTCACATCGACTTGTATTTCGTGAAGTTCTCTCAGGCTGCTGTGGGTGGTGGGGAGGAGGCTGCTGTCATGTCCTGGTGAGTGATGAGGGGTGTCCGGATGAAGGCGGTGTTGGGGGCTTGTGGTTAGTGGCCTCATCAAGCCACTCTGCATGACTCAAAACCAGCCCCTCTCCCTGCTGGGTCCTCCAGGTCCCCAGGAAGTCCCCGGGGAGCCCCCAAGCTTCCTGCAGTGGACAAGAGACATGTTCTACAATAGAAGCCCGGGTTGTGCTCTGCTAATCCCACCCTGGACACGGAGGCTGCAGAGCCAAAGCCCTGGGTCCAGCCTGGGGCGTCTGGTACTTCCTCTTCCCAGATCAGAAATCATTTCTGAGAGGGTGCTTCACGCTGCCTGCCGTTCCACCATCTGAGGGCGTCCAGTGATTTCCAGCAGTGATGGTCCCAGGAGGCACGGCTGGCTCAAAGTGGAGGGTCCCCCCAAGTCAGGGCATTTGCAGAACAGGCAGACCTACATCAACTCATCTCTCCCTCCTTGGCTGGTGGGATTGTCCAGTGACTTATTAAAAAAATCATTCATTGGGCTGATGGTCTTGGTGTCACCGTGTCCTAGGCTGGTGGTCAAGCTTTGCCAGGCAGGACTGCAGTCTCCTCACAGCCACCCTGCCCGTACAGAAACCCAGGCCCAGGGAGAGAGTGTTGGCGAACCCTGGAAAGTGGGTCCTTGTCCGGCGCACTTAGACTTGCCAATTATCTGGACACCGGTCTTCTGAGCAAGAGAGAGTAACTTTATTGCAATGCGCAGAGCAAGGAGCCAGAAAGAAGTTCCTCAGACCCGGCTCCTCAAGCTATGGGGAAGCAGGGCTTATATGTGATTTGGGTAGCAAGATGGCGGCCGTGCACGTGTACTGGGGAGAAAAAATTCTAGAAGGTGGTCAGAAAACAGGAGGTGACACGGTTCCGGTCGGACCTCTTGCTTCGGAATAGGGTCTGGGTGCTGATTTTCCTTCTGATTCATTCCATCTGTTGCTGTGTCTGCTGTCGAAGTCAATCAGTGGTCACAGCTGGCCTTCCTGCACATTTGGGCGGGCCAAATCTAGGTTGGGCTAGTTTAAAGACTAATGGAAATTTCCCGGCATTCGTCAGTATCAGGTTACAAGAGCAGTTCCTGCCTGGGTCACTTGGAAATTTCAGATGCACCAAGTTGTCTCTGAGAGCCCTGGGGCGCAATTGTTAAGCCCTTGGCTGCTAACCGAAAGGTTGGCAGTTCAAACTCACCAAGCTGCTCCAAGGGAGAAAGACCTGGTGGTTTGCTTCTGGAAGAGTACAGCCAAGTAAATCCTATGGGGCGGTTCTGCTCTGTCACATGGGGTCGCCAAGAGTGGGAGTTGAGACAACAGCACCTAACAACAACACAGGGTGGCCCTGACAGGAGCTTTTGCCACCCCACGCGGCCAGGGACCCCTGCCTCAGTACCTGTTGCCACTCTATTCTGAGAGGCCCACACACCCCGATTTGGTTTTCTGGATGGGGAAACTGAGGCCCGCTGCAGCAGGGTGAACAGCCCAGGAGCTGTGGGGACTTTGGGTGGGGAGCCTCAGAGAGAGTTAGCAACTTAACGGCAGTTCAGCTAGAGGGTGAGGGGTGGGGGTGTGGGAAACAGCCCCCCAGCACTGCCTGGAGATGGTGTGCCAGTGCCCGGGGGCAGCCCAGCACAGAGGTGGGGGCAGTTGGGGGCTCAGCTGAGGCAGGGGTTTGAGTCACTACCACCACCTGCTGAGCCCCCCGTTCATCTCTGCAAAGGAGTGGGTACAGCTGAGCGAAAAGGGGGCGACGACTCCAGGGCAGCCTCGCACACAGGTGGGGTCCAGAGAGTGTCGGGGGTGGGGCGGGGAAGGAAGCAGGGGGCCCCAGAAGGAATGAGTTAAAGACCCACATCAGCCCAGCTCAAAGGAGGGAGGAGGGCAGGATGGAAAATAGCCCCGGGTGCGCAGAAAGCGCGAGCCAAGCTCCGGGGCAGCCCTGAATGGGCGCATGGTCGAGAGAGGGGTGTTGGCAGCCATGGGAACCCAGCGGAGGACGCTGATATGCACCGCCCAGCGAGCGCAGGAGCATCCCACCAGGGGAGGCTGGTTTTGGCCAGAGGGCTGGATCCGACACCTAAACACTGCCCCGCTCCACGGCAGCGCAGTATGTGGCTTTGGAGACCGGGAAGAAGCCGTTCAGCGAGTGTGCACCTACGACCTAGCAAGGGTCGGGGATCCCCCTGAACATCTCCGTCCCCCTTCTCTTCCTCTCCACCCTGGCAGACGCAGCACTCCCACACGGCGACCAAGATGCGGTGAAGGGGCGCGACCAAACGCCCTGGGCCGGGCGGCCCCTCGACGGCTGCTTCCGCATGCGCGCTGGGGCACACGGGCGTGGGGGCTGCGCGAGCTCCAGGTGCGCGTGAGCGAGCTGGGCCCGGGATGCAGGTCAACGAGAACGCGCTGTTCGGCTACTGCGAGGCGCGTGCGAGGCTGCCGCGCGCTTCTACGACCTGGGGCTGCGGCGCCTGCGCCAGCAGCCCCACGTGCGGCGGGAGCGGCTGCGCACGCAGCCCCGCAGCCCTGCTGCCGTCGGACGCCCTAGAAGGGCGAGGTTTCCTTCCTGGACATGCACAGCTTCTATTGAAACCGGATCACTGAGTCTGTGCCCAGCGTGCAAGAAACCAACCTTTCAGACGCTGGTTTTGAGAGGAAGAAAAAGTTTATTTCGCAGGCTAGCAAGCGGGAACTCAGAGGTCTCGACCTCAGATTGAGTTCCTCAATTTGAGGAAGCATTTACATTTTGTACGTTTAGGGGACTATACATATTCATATAGGGGTGGAGGAAGGTAGGTGGGCAGAATCAGGAAGTTCTACATTTTCATAGTTTTTATTATTTACTACGGGGCGGAGCTAAGACTTGGCACGGAAGCGGCCGATGGACTCTTCGCTTCTGAAATGCGCTGGGCTACTGCAGATGATGTACGTCCAGTGAATTTAGTTGACATGAGTCTTTTTGTTCCTTGACCTGAGTTTGCCCATGCTGTTGAGCGTGCGTGGGGGTTCCGAAGTAACCCTTGTCTGCTCCGTGCTTGTCTGACCTTAAACCGGTTAGATCCAGATCTGTCAGGAATTCTCCAGATCGTCTGTAAAACAACTTAAGAGGAAGTGAGTGACGTGGTGGGGAGGTGACTGGGAGTGGCCTGATAACTGCTGGAGTACTAATTAATTAGGGGTTTTCCTCTTCCTCCAGGTCCCGTAACAACTCCCCCCTGTGATTTGTTCCATTGCCAATCTTGGGAATGGGGACGACGATCACTCTTAGCTGATTTCTGCTGAAAACGGACATTGTTGGATGGATGTTTTCGCGTAAGTCTGAATCTCAGACCTTTGATTTACAGGCTGGAGAGGCATGTGCCCTTCCCCGGGGAGCAGTACGGGGGACAAAAGGCCAGCAGCCTTTAACCTGGTTTCAGTAAAACGGGTGAGAGGACGGAGAAGACGCGGGCCGACACTGAAGTTCTTCCAAGTGTCCATCACCCGTTACACTCACTAGTCAGGACGCTCCCCAGGTCTTGCTGGGGTCTGAGGGCAGAGGCACTGGCCCGCGGAAGGCACTGGGAGTAAAAAGGTATGATTGTTAAGGAAGTACTGGAAGTGAGGGGAGAACAAAAGGCTGGGGTACTAGAGAGACGACTGGGCTAAGGTTCACAGCCCACAGCTAGGAGAAAGGGACCAAGGGGGTAGACCCATGACGTGGAGGGGTTGGGATATACCAGTGAAGCTGCTCACAAAAGTGGCACAGGGTTTACTCCTGCTAGAGTTACTCCCTGGGTTCTGCTGATGTATCTAACGAGGGGGGGTTTTCACCGTGTGCTATGGCGGAGACCCATTGGATCACAGCATTATCAGCCCACTGACCTATGGCTGGGATGATGATCTCAAAAGGGCTACGGACCTCATCTTCGGGACACAGGAGAGAAGTACTCTGGTTCTTACTTGGAGCAGAGACAATGGTTACGTCCAGCAGGGAGGACACAGGAAAGCATACAGGCCCGGAAAATGACAAGCAGTGTAGGAGATACAGTCATGCCAAGACAACAGTCTGCCCTGAGGGCACATGGGGTCTAATGCACGGAAAACATCAGTAAATAAAAACCGGGGCTACTTAGCTGCTAGCGACTTTCTTCTTTTTAAACAGGACTTTAAGTCCATCGACAGGTTCAATATCATATTCTGTCTTTCCAGGCTGATGTCACTGGTGAAGATTGGGGTGGTGGACTCCTCTTGACTCCCTGTCCCGTCATTCCATTCCCGGTGTCACAGGGATGAGCCATCTGGTTGATCTAAGGAGGATCAGTCTTATACTGGAGCACAAGCTTGAGTCTGGAGTGATGTATCCAAGGTCGGACCCCCTTCACTTTGGCTGAGGAGTGGGTGACTAGGAGAGCGTCAAAAGGTCCTTCCTATCGAGCCCGAAGCTGTTGGCTGGGAGTCCAGTCGTTCCAGTTTTCGAGCGGCGCCAAGTCTCCGGGGCTCCGGTTATGGAGTGGGGTATCTGTGGGAAACATTACTCTGCTGGCTGCATAATGGTTAACAGCCTTTAAAGTAATAGAGTCTGGACATACCTGACTTGATCTAGTTCCCCGGTCACAGGCGAGTCTGCGTGACTCCGGTGCCCAGGGGCCTGGGGTTTGAGGAAGGGTCTCCCATATAACGTTTCGTACGGACTCAACTGGAGTCTGCTTCTAGCGCCTGCCCTAACTCTGAAAACTGCAGCGGGAAGAACCTGAAGCCACGGAAGGTTGGTTTCCTGACGGATTTTGGCCATTGCTTCCTTTAAGGTATAATTCATCTTTTCAGTCTTTCCCGATGTTTCTGGTCTCCAGGAGGCCGGCAGCCTCCATTTAAAGCCTGAAAGCCCTGGAACCTGTTGAACCACTTGGGCCACAAAAGGCTCCTCCATTGTCACTCTGAATGGAGACAGGTGAACCAAACCTTGGCATGATTTCCCTCAGCATGGCTTGACTTAACTCCAGCAGCCTTCTCTGTTCTGCAAGGGAATGCCTCTATCCAGTCAGTGAAAGTATCTACAAAGACAAGTAAGAATTTCATCCCTCCAGTCATTGGCGGCGTGACAGTGCAGTGAAGTCCATCTGCCAGTCTGCCCCGGATCCCAAACCTCTGGCTCACACTCCTCCTATAGGTGGGGTGGGCCTGTCCTGGGATTATTTTTAGCACAGAGCATGCCTTGCTGGGTGATAAGCTGAACATTCTTATATAAGTCAGTCCCCACAATCAGCTTTTGTAGCCACGTGGCCAGGGCATGCCTTCCATAAGGGGTGGTGAGGTGGACGGCTGGTACTACATCATACGTAAGGTGTCCTGGCGCTAACATTTGTCCACTGTCATTATACATCCACCTGTTTGTTATCTTCTGAGAAGCTCCATTGTCCTCGCTTTTCTTTATCTGGTTGAGAATATCCTGGAGTGAAGGCCTGTAGGGCAGTATCAGGCAAGAGGGCCAAAACCCGTGCTGCGGTTTTGGCTTTTCCAGCTTCCTTAGCTGCCTGATCGGCGAGGCGATTCCCTTTGGCTAAGGTGTTATCCCCGGCTGATGGCCTGTGCAGTGTGTAACAGCCACCTCGGTGGGGAGGACGACTGCCTGTAGCAACTTTCAAATTTCAGGCTCGTATTTAACTTCTTTACTGGCTGATGTTAGTAATCCCCTCTCTTTCCACATGGCCCCATGTGTATGCACAATAGACAAAGCGTACCTCGAATCTGTGTAAACGTTAATTTTTTGACCTCTTCCCAATTCTAATGCTCTGGTCCGTGCGATCAGTTCAGCCTTCAGGGCTGAAGTTCTGGGAGGAAGGGCTTCCAACTCTAAGGTCTCATGAACGGACACTACAGTATATCCAGCCCCTTGTGTCCCTTGATCCAGGAAGCTGCTGCCATCTGAAAAAACTTCAAGGTCCGGTTAGCAAGCGGAGTATCTTGAAGATTGGGTTCTTCCATGTGCGGAAGGCAACAGGCTAGCTTGTTGCTTCATTTCCCGGTGCTGCTGCTTTCCCTGTTCTTGGTCCCAGCTGTTGTAGACTTTAAAGGCCGCCTCCACTAATTGTGAGGTGGTCATAGCTAGCCCATTTGCTAATTTCTGTAGCTTGCGCCTTATGTCGGGTGCGCTCTGAGACATAAAATTCAGGTTAACAACCTTTTGGAAAGTAGGATCACAGGATTCACGTTAGCATGTTTTCTATAAGCTTCTAGGACCCGCTCAAGGAAGGCAGAGGGGTTCTCATCTGGCTTTTGGTGAACCTCTTGAATTTTGTTAAGGGTTAAGGTTTGGGTGCTCCCCGCCGGAGCCCTTCTAGCATACATTCTTGATAATGTTGCAAGAAAACTATATCAGTTCGCCTGGTTTGGATCCCGCTTGGGGTCTTGAAGGGTCACAGCCACATCTACTGGTCGTCTAGCCAGATTTGCCCCTGCCTCATGAAGCCTTTCTGCCTCCAGTGTAGCCTTTTTTAAAACCATCCTTCTTACCTCCTGAGTCAGCAGGTCTCGGAGGAGGGCTCGTACCTCTACCCGCTTTGGCTGATGAATATCAAAGGTGCTCTGAAAGAACTCTGCCATCTGGCTGGGGTCTTCTTGGTAACTGGGCATTGATCTCTTCCAGTTCAGTAAGTCAGTAGAAATGAAAGAAGCATGCACCCACACAAAGCCACAGGGTACCCCTTGATCGCTGTTCCCTGCCAGAACCTGGCAAAGAGGAAACTTCCTTTGCCCTTCATCAGAAGAGGAAGGCCCCTGGCCAAATTGAACACCACTGTGAGTGTGAGGAGAGGCCATTTCCTTTACTCGGGGATGTGGGGTTTCTGCTGTTACCTTAACCTCTCTTTCCTGTTTCTGACCGTTGCAGGGTCTTGGAGTCATGGTCAGGGGGGCGGTAGCTGCCGCCCCCGGCACATAATGGGGTGGGGGGTGCCGTTGGGAAAGGAAGAGGTTCCTAGGGCTCACTTTCTTCTAAAATCTCTTCTTTCTTTCTGGTCTTGTGGCTTTTCTGCCCTCTGAACCAATAATGTACATTGTTTCTGTACATTTCGGTTTTGATATAATGCCATGAAGGCCTGTACATAAGGGATTTCATCCCATCTCTCTTCCCGCTTACAGAACGTTAGCTGTAAGATGGTATCATGAGGTAAAGAACCTGATGTTGGCCATTTCTCACTCAACCCCAGGGGATGCTGTACCCAGTCCTGATGACAGTACTTGATCATGACTTTCTTTTTTTATATCTCCATAGCTGAACTGTTTCTAATTCTTTAAAATCCAACCCAATGGTGAACACTCGGGGATCAACGGTGCGTCTTCCAGTCTCTACTTGGCACACGCACACGCACACACACACCAAACCAGCACCTGAGGCGACCGAGTTAATCTTGGCAGCCTCAGCCTCCCAAACAGCCCCGGCGCCACACACCTGTGACACTGCTGTGTCTCTGGTAGCTGGATCACCTAACCCTCGCTAATGTTCTTTTTCATAGTTAAGTGGGTGGCCCGGTAGTAAGGTCATTTGTAACTGTCACCTGTTTTTGTAGAGGAAACAGTGAGTCAAAGACTTACATAGAACAAGTTAGAGGTTGTAGGAAGGGAGAGGGCTCTTCTCTTTTGATACTCTGAGAACGGACACTGTCCGCCTCATCTGGGTAGCTTGTTCTCTCTTTGGGTCAGAAGTGAGTGGGTCGCTCCAGTATCTCCCAGAAACTTGACAGGTTTTCTTTTCCCCGTTATGATAACTAGAGGCTCGGGTGGAGGACTGGTCTCCATTTCCCTTTCAGTCGGATTTACCTTTTAGTGGCACAGCCGGGCACTGAGTTGCCTCTTTCTTTTTTAGTTCCTTTGTTTGGTATCTTGTACACCCTTTCAATGTCCCACCTCCTTTTTTTTCTTTTTTTTTTTTAACTACACCAGCTGCACTGGTCTCTTTTCAAAGGGGTGTGGGGGCTTCTCTGCTCCTGTGGCCTTGATCTCTCTCCTTTTCTTTGTTTTCTTGGGAGATGGCCTTCAGCCTGCAAGGCGGCAGCTAGGATGGCTGCCTGGTGCTTCTGGTCTGCAACGTTTCTTTCTTGCTCCTTATCTCAGCCAGAGTAAACTTGGCAGGGCAGCTCCACTAGCCGAGAGATTTTTAACCCTGTACCTCCTTCTTTCTGAAGCTTGCTTTTAATATCCGGGGCACTTTGTCCTGTAAAGATTATACTGACCGTTCTGGCATTTTCAAGGTTTTCAGGATCCACATCGCTGAACTCGTGAACATGGTCTTAAGATACTATGGCTGTCTCAAGAACCAGTCGCAGCCAGAGGATTTTCATTTTCCTGAACGTCCAAATCGGGGCACCCAAAAACTGTTCCGCTCTGTGTGTGGCGGCAGCGCGCCCGCTGGTGGACAGAAGGACCCAGGAGGCGTGGATACACGGGTCGAGGGGGCTTAACAGTAGGGGCTGTCACTGGCAGTGCAGCTCTGTTGGGTGGACCCAGGGCGTAGGGAGGGGGCGTCACATGTGCCGAGGTGGAAGGAGCTGGAAGATCTTCCTTAGGGTCACGAGGAAGGACTGGCAGTTGTGCTTTATCGGTCCCTTTCTGAACTAACATTTTACTTTTTTCTTTAACCCTTTGTTTTGATACAGAGTCATGAAAGCGTTCACATAATAAGCGTTCACATAATAATTTTCTCATTTACCCTGGCGAGTACAGAAAAGATCAAGTTGGAGGATAGTATAATTTAGAGACCAATTTGCTGGCTACTTTTCCTCATCTGCCGATTCATATTGAGGCCATGCAGTGTTATCAAAGAAAATCATCTTTTTTTTTCTTATAGCGTCTGACCTGAAGTATTCCTAGTTCTTAAAGATGCAGCCTAGTGGCTACATTTTAGGATCTCTTGAACTTTCCTTATTTTCCAGACACACACATGGAGACAGAGTGAGCTCACACCAGACCAGAGGACAGAGTGTCGGGACCACACGGTTAACGGGAACGGACTTACCCATCCTGCGCCTCCAGACCAACGCAGATCTGTTAACTCTTCTCAAGTTGGGTTTGCACCCTAACTGGGAACGCTGCCCACGGGGCTTAAACTTACCCGCAGCCTCTGAATTGAAAGAGATACAGGCGTGCCCTGAGGGCACTGATAAGCCCGGCCTCAGCCAGTGGGGCTCCAAGAAAACTGGGCAAACAATAGAACTGTTTAAGGTCCCATCAGGTGTGCCAAAATTGAAACTGGACCTATGGGTCCGTCCCCGGTGTGCAAGGAGCCAATCTCTCAGACGCTGGTTTTGAGAGGAAGAAAGCATTTATCTCGCAGGCTACCAAGCGGCAACTCAAAGGTCTCGACCTCAGCCTGAATTTCTTGATTTGAGGAAGCATTTACATTTTACAGGTATGGGAAACTACACATATTCATATAGAGGTGGAGGAAGGCAGGTGGGCAGGATCAGGAAGTTCTACATATTCATAGTTTTTACTGATTATTTATTACGGGGGGGCGCTAAGACTCGGCACAGTAGCCACCGATGGGCTCTTCACTTCTGAAATGGGCTGGGCTATGCAGATGAGGCATGCCTCGTGAATTTCGCTCTTTGACCTGAGTTTTTTCCCATGCTATTGAGCATGCGTGGGGGGTCCGACATGGTCTGTCAGTCACCCTTGTCTGCTTTGCGCATGTCTGACCTCCTTAATCCGTTAGATCCAGATCCGTCAGGAATTCTCCAGAGTCTGCAAAACAACTAAGAGGAAGTGAGCGAGGAGGGGAGGTGACTGGGAGTGGCCTGATAACTGGTGGAGTACTAATTAACTAGGTGTTTTTTAAAGGTCCCCTAACAACTGTATCCGTCCCCCCAACACTTCCTCGCCCCACGGCAGCGCAGTATGTGGGTGGGGGGACCGGGAGAAGCGTTTTAGAGAGTGTGCATCTGCCACCCAGCAAGGGTCTTTTTGCAGCGGGGACAGCAAGAGTCGGGGACCCCCTTCTGATCCCGTGCCCCTACTCTTCCTGTCAATCCTCGCAGGACAAACACTCCTGCCGGGCGCCCCGGACACGGTGGAGCTGGGCGACCTGACTCCCGGCGGCGGGCGTCCCCCGGGTCCGCTTTGTGGGGCCGACCCTCGCCTGCGGCTTGCGCATGCGCGCTGGGGCACGCGGCAGTGCGCCCTGCGCGAGGTCCAGGTACGCAGGAGAGAGCTGCCCGTGAGATTCGCGTCACGGGAGACACCGCTGTTCCGCTACTGCGCAGGCACGTGCGAGGGAGCTGTGCGCTGCTAAGACCTGGGGCTGTGGCGCCTGAGCCAGCAACGGCACGTGCTGCGGGAGCGGGTGCGCGCGCAGCCCTGCTGCCGCCCGACGGCCTAGGAGGACAGCCACAGCCATTACCACGTCGGCGCGTAAGTGCGCGTGCGTGTGACCCTACCTCAACCGGCCTGGCGAGACACCCCATGCCAGACTATATGCAGGACCTGCCATCGAGGCCAAGGCACTGACTCTCGCGTTAACTGCGTCGAGCTAAAAGTGTGAAAATGGAGCCAGGGACATGATTCGGGGCGCCCATCTCCAAAAGAGGTGGTTTTGGCACATGGGGAGGAGATGCTGTCTCCAAGGGGAGACGGGCGATATGCTGTCATCTGCAGGGGATGATGGGAGGATCCTGGGATCAGGGAAAAGGGAGAGGATGTGCAAAGAGAGGGACAAAAGAGCAGGGGCAGTATTGGCAGGGAGCTTCTTTCCCACCTCCTGGACAGTCCCTCTGCTCCTCCTCACAGTGTGGGCTTCTGGGGAGGAAAGGGCAGGACTGGAGTTGGTACAGGGAGGTGGAGCCATTCTGCTGGTGACGAGACTGAGGTCTAGGTGGACCCAAGCCTGCCTTGCCTGATGGCTTCCATAGACCGGGCCCACCAGGGTGAACCCAGAGCCACTATCTCCTGTCACCAGCTAAAAACACCAGCAGCCCACCTCCTGGTGGGGACAGCTCTGGGGTGGACTTCACCTCCGTTGGCTGAAGCCGGCACCTGCTGGGGCATAGCTGGGTCCCCAGAGACTTGTGTCCTGTACCCATAAAAGCCGTGCCCGGCCTGGGGCGGAGGGGGTGGGGGGTTATGGCGAGCCCCTGTGGAAAAAGCAGGGCGCGATATTTAGGTTTGCCTGCGGTGTCACCTTGATGCTTGACAGGCCCAGGATGGGGTGTTGCGTTCTGGCGGGTCCCATGGTCTCAGAAAGGCGGGTGAGCCTATGAGCTGGGGGCTGGCACCTGTAGGTTGAGGGCGTGGACTTCTAATTCATCCCCACAGACTGAGGGCTCTGGAGGGTGCACCCTCACCCCCACAAGACAGTCTCCTTAGGCATGGTCCCCTCCCCTCTCCCTGGTTCTGTGCCTTTCCCCAACAGGCCCCTCCTCTTCTTCCCACACATCTGAGCTCAGCACCACCCTCCCAGACTTGTCCTCATTCCAAAACTGAAGGGCACAGATCAGAAACTGACCCCAGGGAGGATCACCCAGCCAGGCTCCTTGCCCCCCAGGACTCTGGCTGCAGCTGGAGACACTCGAGGGCAGCTACAAGCAGGACTTCCAGGGAGCTCAAGTGCAGGGTTTGCTGGCAGGGCCCAGAGCGTGGGTCGTCTGCTCGGAAGGCAGTTCCCCAGGCAAGGCTGGCTGAAGTCCCTGTCCGCCCCCGCGGTCTTTTGCCTGTGAGGTTTGGGGTGGTGGATTCCTCCACTCTTTGGGCTGAGTCTGCCCAGCCCTGCAGAGAGGCCGGAGTCTCCAGATGCTGTGTAAGCAAGGTGATGCCCACTCAGAGCCTCAGTTTCCCCATCGGGATGGATCTCTGGATGGCTGGGGAGGCCTCCAGACTCAAGTTGCTGAGTCCAGGACACAGAGCGGGGAAGCTGGTGTCCACCTGAGTCTTGGCCCCCGTGAAGCTCAGCTGCCTCTGTGTGTGAGTGTGTGCACCCTGCCTCGGCCTCCCTGTTGTCTCCCACCCAGATCCAAATCCCAACCACAGGGTGCGGGCCCAGCTGCCAGAC